TCTTCAAATATGTTATGGGCTGTTATAAAGAGGATGGTGATCAATTGTTCTCCATGTCCACTGAAGGTAGGACTAGAAATAATGGGCTTAATGTGCAGCAAGGGAGATTTAAGTTAGACATTAGGAAAAACTTTCCAACTGTAAGGGCAGTTAAGCTCTGGAATAGGTTTCCAAGGGAAGTTGTGGAATCCCCATCATTGGAGAGTTTTAAGAACAGGTTAGTTAAACACTTGTCAGGGAGTCTAGTTTACTTGGTCCTGCATTAATGCAGTGGGCTGGACTAGATGACCTCTTGCGGTCCCTTCTAGACCTACATTTCTCTGATGCTTTGATCTATGCAATTGGTAACTCACCATGGAAAAGAGCCTCATTTTTCTTTCTTTCTTGAAAAAAATAAATAAATCTAGTTTTCCTGTCTAGTAGAAAAAGCTGATGTTTATGGTTATTATACAACTTGGGAAAACTACAAAGCCCCTCAAATAAATATTCCCAAGAAATGCAGCTCTCCTAGGGGTATAAACACAGCCAACAGTGGGGATGTGGGTAACATATACACCTAATTCAGATGATGTGTCTCTCCAACCAGCTGCAAAATAAATGCATTTTCACTAATGCAGCATGGTTTATCAACTGGGATATTGCCCGCTTCTTACTATCTCCTGGGACACTCCTTGAACGTATTGAGTCAAAATTTCCTGATATCAGTGAGCAAAAGACTTGGTAAATATTTCACTTAAGCCATGTGGGAATGAATGCACTGTCCAGTGGCTGCTGAACAAGAATAGAGAGAGATAGGAATCTCAGTTACTCTCTCCAACACAAAAAGCCCAAGCACCTTCTGCAAGTCAATGGCCATCAGCAGTGCTGAATTTAGATCAAACTTGTAGATAGGTCACGGTAATCCACACTAGCGGCCATGTATTCTCATTTTAAAAGTGCAGTGGGGAAAATTTCTCGCTCCCTGTATCTCTCCTATTTCGCCTTTAAGTCACCCAACCAGCCTACATTCTACACTGTCTGTGGGCAACTGAGCATCTGCAAATGGATATTTTCACCTGAAAGAATCAGTCTGTTAAATAGCTGACTGTGTGTGGTCCAGAGAACTAGTATGGAGGTAAATTTATTTCATTTCAATATCATTTTCTCTGCCATTTTTTCCTGGAAAAAGGCCTTTAAATATCAGGCAAGGTCAGTGAATGATCTAGCCTGTATCAGGCTCCAGGATTATCCAGAGTAATATGTGTATCCTTTCCGTCTGCCATCCTTGACTCTAAGTGAAGCTAACTGTAAATATGTTCCATATTTTGAAATGTAATTGAAAAAGCATTAGGCTTAATTCATGGCAACCTTATGAACATCAAAGTCTTTATTTCCATTTTTCCGTGAGTTTTAAGCTGCATGAAGTAGTCTATTCTTCGCATATATTTCACATTTACAAGCCTCTCTTCTCATCACTGGGAGTAAAAGGTTGAGAGATGTACAATTCAGTAGGATAGTTAATTACATACAAATAGAATTTTTTTAAACAAGTATAAAAGATTATGTGTCTATTTTTAATTAGAGAATTAAAAGCTATTTCACTGGCGAGTTATAGAGTCAGGGGCCTTTTAAACCTTTGAGCATGACATCTGCATGACTCCTATTAATAGTAATCGGAGTAAGTACTGCACACGAATTTCTCCCACTGCAAGAGAAGACATCTCACTACATTTTCTTTTAATGCACCTCAATTATTATTTATTTGTATTAAGAGAGTGTCTGCAATGTGCCAAGTTCTGTCCAAGCACATAGGAAGCTGCAAACGAATACCGATATTACTAATAAACACAGTGGGATAACCTCAGCCCTGGTATAAATTGATGCAACTTCACTGACTTCAAGGCTGAATTTGGCTCATTGATTTCTGTCAAACAGCACAAGTAATGGAGACCTCAAATTATACCAGTCTTGAGCATCTTATTTGAGATAGGCAATGTTCAGAAAGTGCCAAGCATGAGCAGGCTATGGGTGTTTCCTTAAAAAACAAAAAAGTGATGATAGTTCTGGTATTTAACTTTAAAGCTGGTCCTTGGGAAGCCTTAACTAATACTGTGGTGTTTAGGATCTTCCAAGCAGCACTTTCTTTTTAATAATCTCTTGCTCTACAATCCATGGAATCTGTGGCCAGACGGATGTATTCTTTGGCACCCCTGCAGTCATTATGATCAAGGCATCACATTTAAAAATCAAAATTAGATCAATAAAGAGGAAATGTAGCCACTGATAAAATTTTACATTTTAATCTCAGTGTACGAAACTACTAGTAAAATATATCCTGGCTAAAGCACCTTCTACTATACAAACCTGTGCATCTCTGGCACAGAGGGTAGACGGAGAAAAGTATACTCTTCTCCAGGCCCTTACAAGATGAGTTATTGCAGTGGCCAAAGGATATGCATCAGTCCAAGAGATTAGAATAGGACCCTGAGGTGACAATTCAGCAACACTGGTTAGCGCACACAGAATTTACGCGTATTTGCACAGGACTTCAACCTGAGGATTGTGCAGCCTTAGTCACACATTTCTCCATGAAGCTCAGTTTGGATAGTGGGGTTTGGATAAGATTAATGCTAAATATGCTTTAAAAATGCTTTAATTGATTTTTAAACCAGAAAATAAGTTAGAATGTCATTGCGTTTTTAAAATAAGGAAAAGGAATCGCATCACCTGTAAAGAGTCTGGTACGTCTAAGTTTGCTGCTTACAGATGCTATAGCACTAAGAATTGTCTTCAGCACTTAGAGCCTGACCCAAAGTCCCTTGAAGTTTATGGAAGGCTATCCATTGATTTTAGTGGACTTTGGATCAGGTCCTATGTAAACTCAATGGAAACCGGTTTCTGCTCGGTTGTAAATAATGATTCAATAACACAAGGGCAACTTTAGACTACATACATTAAACTTTATTTTGGTTAACATTCAATGGTGAAATTCTTCTCCTTGTCCAGCCTTAAAAACCAAGTGGAAACTGGTTTGCAATTTCTGATGCTCAGCTCCAACGTTTCACCAGCCATGTTAACTTTCATTGGTTTCATGGTTCCCACCCAAAATCTCAGGAATGCAGATTTTCATTAGAAAAACTTTGGGCCCAATCCTGCCAACATTTACACATCAGTAATTTTACTCGTTTGTGTAGTTCCATTTAATTTAACTTGAGTAAAATTATTTGCAGGCTGGTTTCCAGGATTATTATTTATTATTTGTATTATTGTCTGGCTAGGGTGCAATACACCAGGTGTCCATTAAGCCTTTTTTCTTTTCAAATACAGCTCACCACTTCATCTGCAATGAGAACCCTGTTCTAAGTGATCTTTCAGAAGACTGCACTGTACTAAACACGGTAGTCTTTGAACTCAGAGTCTTTTGCTATTGGCAATTTTAGATAAGATAAACCGCTAACATCATTTGAACACAGAATATTCAATCTCAAAAGCTAGCAATTGTATTTTTCTAGCTGTCCCCTTCCTCTGTTACGAAGTATATGTATTTCTAACAAACAATTCATCACTATTGTGTCATTGTAGGAAGAAAGCCAAGTAACTAGGCAATTAATCCAGTAATAAAATAATTTATGTAACAAATTACACATTGTACACATCCAGGCTCTTGCTATGCCTTGAAACAGATCCTGAAGTCACAAGCTAGAGAAGAGTAATTGCTTATTTAAAATAATAATACTTTGCACTTGTACAGCACCTTTCAGCCAAAAATCACAATGTTATCCTAACTGTATAGGTAGGGAAACTGTGGTACTGAAATTATGGGCAGATTCTGACACCCTTATTCACCTAGTGAATAGCATTTTACTCCTTGAGTGACCCTCTTAAGTCACAGGAATGCCTCAGAAGTAAGGTATTCATGTAAGTGTATCAGCATCTGGCCTTTGGTACCTTGCTCAAGGTCATATAGTCAATCAGAGGCAAAGTCCTGCATAAGACTCAGTTGCCTGACTCCTGTTCTAACCACTGGACTGTCCTGCTTCTCAATAAAATAATAAAACCTCAGCAAATAATCCCAAACACCACAGTAACCATGTTCCTCTGTGCACAATCACCACTTGGCCTTTATTCCCACCGTCTTGAAGCCCCCAAATACAAATAGGCATATCCACTGTTTTTGAGGAGATGGGGAATCCCCTCATTCCCTCCCAGGGCTGCCTGCCTGGAAAAGCTTGGGCATTGCTTTTAGATGCCCTGAACTAGATCTCTCTCCTTTAAAGATTTCCTCCCCCTTCTGCGTTCATTGCATAACCATGGCAAGCTTTCTCCACTTTCAGCCTCCAGATCCGTGGAGAGTATATAAAGAACATCGCAAATTGGATCCGAGCTGGTTGCCTAGCTAACACCTTCGGAGTGAACGTAACTAACAATTGCACAGATTTAGCCCTACACTTTTTTTTAAATGGGTTTGCTTTGTTTTTCAAACTTCTCTCTGAGCACTTTCCCAGCCCTCTGCTGCTCTCCCAGGTCCACATGCTGGCTGGAGCCCCAGGCCGTGGAATGAAGCCCCTTAGCTAAAGCTTTGGGCACAACTACAGTACATGCATCTCTGCAGTCTGGTTTTTTGTTACGTCTGGGGAGGCTCTTAGTCACCAGTTAGCCGAGTTTTATGGCCAAACTGCAGGGATTGCTGCTTTTGAAACAGGGACGGGACTATCCCGGGCCTGTGAAATGCCATTAACTTTAGAGATTGCCTCCAATTTAGACCAAGTGCCCTAGAGATAAGCCTTCCCCAGACATCCTGTTAACGGGCTTCCCACTTGATTAACCCGGGACGCTGCCGCTCAGCTGGTGGAATAGTGATAAAAGTAGGGCACCTTGTGACAAACTCTCCAGTCGAGACCCACTTTCCCTGCCAGACAGAGATCCGCAGCCCATGAACTCAGGGCGTCCTTGGCAAAGGGGGATAATGACACATAAGTAAAGACCCTGGAGCACCCCCCCACACACACACACGCCCTTACCTGATACACCTGTGCTGCTGGGTGCACAGCAGAACCAAGGACGGGAAAATCCAGGTGAGAAATTCCATTTTAGTCCCAGGCATTAGACAGTGGCAAGCAAAGCCCTGGTTCTCCTGCTGTCCTGGAAGCGCCGAGGAGGCTGCTGTAGCGTTACCATCCCTGCTGTATTAAGTTGAGGCTCAGTTTGAAGCAGTGTTGTTGCTCAGCAGCCCCCACAATCTCTACAGCGCCCGAGAGACATGCAGGCAGGGCGAGATGGGGAGCAGGGTCAGCCCTCCTGGTCTGCCCCCCGTTCCCTGCCTCAGACCAAGGACAGGAGAAGTGGCATGCCAGCTTGACAGCTGCCCCTCTGTGCCATCCCCACTCGCGGCTGCTTTTCAGAGGATTCTTCCCAGCAGATCTTCCACTGTGCAAAGCTGGTTGCCGAAAATAACCTCTGAAATGACAGATTTGATCATAGCACGCGCAGGAGGAAGCGAACTACAAATGCTCATCAGAGCCTAGAAGTGCCCCTGTGCAAAAAACATAACTAAACACCACGATCGAGTCCAATCTCAGGACACAGGGGGACACGTCCCTGGAGCAGCAACCAGTCCAGGGGCTGCTCGGAGTGAGATTAATGCACGTTTTAGCTGGAAAAAGCGTGGGTAAACTGCAGGAGTTTGTGTGTGTGTGTGCAGCACGTTCCCTCCCCCTTCCTTCCCCCGCACCGCTCCCTGCACAACTCCAGGGGCAACAGCAGCAAGCGCCTGCCCTCTGCAGCACGGAGATTGGAGGAGGGAAATGAGCAGGGGGATCTAGCCCCGGCCGGGAACAAGGGGATTTTGCAGTTGCATGGGGCTTTAAACAAGTCACACACAGAAAGCACTAGCAAGAGCATGGGAGGCAGAGCCAGCGTTACACAAACTTCTTCCTCATCTCTGGCAGGGCTAGGAGGCTGCTTCCCTGAGATGAAACATGTTGGGTTACTACATCCATAGGCATGAAGCATCTCTTAGAAGACTCCGGACCGTGATTGCCCCAGGGCTGAGTTCTCAGATGGCAAGAGCTCTCTAGGGTCACTGAAAGCCACAGTTCAAACTGCTCCTGCAAACTCTTGGGGGCCCCTCTTTGCTATTAAAGGGGGTTGACCCAGTAGAGCAGTATGCTGGGGGGACATTGTCCAAGATGCAGTTGGGAAGTTTGGTCCTCACTGGATCTCTTCTCAGGGCAAACTCGGATGTCAGGTATGAAAGTCCACGTTTTCTCTGCCGCACCTCTCCTCCGCTGGGCTGTTTGGCTGTCGGAAGAAGAGAAGAAACACTATGGAGGAAACGTTTTAAAGAACATGTAACGTTAAGCACTAGAAGGCAGGAAGGAACAGAATATCCAGATACTTTATTCCGATATTTTTCCAAACCGAAGGATGTACTGGGGAGAAGGTTTTTCTATATTCCTGCTTGTACCATTCAATACTAATATTTTATATAGAAAGCAAGAGAGGGAAGTAAAACAACAGCCCTGAAGGGACTGAGGAGAATATCTATCCATCCATCCATATGTGTCTGAAGTGTGTGTATAGATAAGTATTATATATTAAAATGAGCAAGGGAGGACATATGTAGGACTAACATAGCTTTCGATTTTCCTTCTATTCCCCCCTCCCTCCCTCCCTACATTTGGATTGTCATTCTCTGCAGCTAATGCATACCGGGAAAGAAAACACCTAAATTTACACTCTAATGCTTAACTGTGTTGCTTTGGCTGCTTTTAAAAAGATCTTGAAAGCTGTTTATGATGGGGGGAGAAATCAAAACATTCTTTTATGTAATCTACAGGGTAAGTTTTCGCATCAGTTAATACATCTGGGTATGGAATAAACACAGATTTACATCTTTCAGACGTTCCATTTTTCTATATTTTTCCTTGTCTTATATATGCTTGCCTACCTACCTGCATTTAGAACTCTTAGATTCTGCTTCTCTCCAAGGCTAGACAGTTACCATCTACTTATTTTACTAGTAAAACAGGCACACAGTTACACTTTTATCTCCTAAGAACACATCTGTTACAATATCAAAGAACAATAAGTAAGTTATCTAGTAAAAATGCATACATGTGTAAGAAGATTATTGGCATCATGTTCTCTAAAAGGATAAATGCTGCTATGAACTGTTCTTTTAATAGACAATTTCCTGTATAAAACCTTAAAATACACAATAGAGAGGAGCCCTCTAAAGGAATCGTTGTTGAAAGAATAGAGTTGTGTTTCTTTGTGCACCAACTACACTCAGAACAGCTAACCCCTTTTGGGCACCCTCGACCCAGTTAAAATAAGCTTTGTTGACTGTGGTTGGGCCACTAATGGAAGTACAGCACTTACACATAGGAAATTGTTTACTTGTATCTCTTAATTCTTCTGGCTATTTCTTTTTCCCATTTCTCCTGCCTCCAAAAGGCACCACTGTTGCAGCACCTTCATGACTCTATAGCCAAAACAGGAAGGGCCACATTAATCCCTGTCATAAACCACTGATCTCTCAATAGCTTCAATGGAGTTGCACCACGGATGTATTTGGCTACATCATTTCAGCGTTCTGGTCTTTTAAACCAAGCTCTAATGCTACAAACTGATCTCTAGGAGTGGACCCTTGCTTATGTTCAGAGCCCATTAATTGCATTTGGGATCTAGATGGGGGTAATGGTCCACTGGCAGAGATCAGAGTACAGGATGAGGGCTTTAAACTGTAGAACGTATCCTGTGTGTTTGCAAGCAGCTTACTAATATCACCCTGAATAAGTAAAATATTTTACAAGTGAGTAAGTGCTTTTATCATTAGGATAGGACAATTAGATTTTGTGCCTGGGATGAAAAATTCTCATGACAAATTTTGCAAGGCTGATTTAGCAGCCAGTGTACGTCTATGCCTTGAAGAAGAAAAGTCCTGATCTAAGTCCCATTCCTGCAAAACTCTAAGCGCGTGCAAAACTTTATGCATGTGAGTAGTTTTAATTGAGTTAATGGGGCCTTGTACTTTGTATAACTATGATTTTGAAGAAGGGCAGATACCGGCTCATACAGACTGCTGTTTAGTCACAGTTCCACACAAATTCTTACTTAGGCAGATGAGATTTTTGAGTATATTTTTCCCCACTCAGCATTAATAATGCCTATTAGAAGTAGGGGAAGCATGGAAACTAGAATAATTATTTATAATACATTTTATTGCTACAATACCCAACACAATATCCTAGGCCCTTTACTGTTAATGACAGATTAAATGACTTAAAAGATAGAAGATTAAAACACATAAAATCAGCATAAAACCACAGTATAAAATAAAAGTAAGCCCCCAAATCTCTCTCATCTAATCCTCTAGAAAATAATTAAAGTTTTCTCTTAGCCACTGGGTTGGAGCTGTCACATATTCTTACAAAGATGGCCCATGACACAATCTTTTTTAAGCAGTTTTGTCACCCTACTAAATTGCTACCTCTTCTCAAACTCTGTGGCAGCAAGCACCAACTGTTATGATAATATCCATTGTATGGATTTGACCTTGTATGCAGAATTCAGATGGCTCAGAGACTGTATCAGATTAAGATATACTCCACCCAAACTGTGACTTCCAGTTTGGAGTCTCATAGGGCTCCCCTTTCATGGTTACTTGTTACTGTGTATGTAAAGCCACTTGAGAATTGATAGAAGAATTTAGTCTGAAATATTACTAGTATGTTGCTCATACCCAGAGCTACACTTCCATCCCATCAGGTGACTATTCTACTGCCTGATTGAGACTGCAGAATAGATGTGAGCTTGTTGGTTGAAGCTCAGCCCTTGTAAGAGTGATGTATTACATCTGGACACTCTTGGAAGAAACATCTGGATGATCTTGTTTATTTAGTGTCTACTTTCTCTGAAGCAGGTGAACAGAGTTCACAACTTGGAAGCCATTTTTCACCAAAAGCTGAATGGGGAAAACCCATATTTCAGCAATGTTCATGATTTTTCATCTGCAAATTGCAGCTTTTTCCTGACCATAATGATCCATGCCTTTGTGACTGCTAGTGTAAAGTGCGGAGTCTGTGCTCAAATAAAGGAGATGATATAGGAGAAATGCATCCAATAATCATATAAGAAAATCATCATAGACCTCTATGATCTGAAAATTTCAAGAGTATATCTAGAAGAGGTCATGCTGTTTAAATTTTTTTAAGTTGCATCTGTATTATCATATACTCCTAATGGATCATTTTCAAAGAATGACAGGTGATTTTACTGCCATCACTCAGGCAGGCATGTCTAATTGTCTGATAAAATTTCTAGAGGCAAAAATGCACCACATAGATAATTAGTTTCATTCTCCCACGACTCTACATGAACAGCTAGTGAAAGACTCTGTTGTGGCAAGTCTCCAAATGTCTCTAGATATATAAAATTACACACACTCCTATTTTTATATATGAGGAGATATCAATAACAATCTCACAAGAGGAATATTTAGATCATTTTGGATGCTACACAGGGCTCATCCCTAATTCTGTAGTCAGGTCCCATCAACAATAATTCTGTATTCTATCTACCAGTACTTCAGCTACTATGGATGTTTCCTCCACCCGGAAGATGGGTGAGAAATCTTAAGAAATAAGTAATGTGGCAAGAGCCTGAACAATAGATGTTTTTTCTCTTTGAAAACAAGTGGTCAGGATATTGAATGATTAAACCAAAATGATTTCATTAGCAGGGCCGGCTCCAGCATTTCTGCCGCCCCAAGCAAAAAAAAAAAAA